ACTGAGTATTATTAAAGAATAAAAGATTTCCGTGGATTTTGACGTCATTCTAGGTTTTTTCTTTTTTCATCCAAAAATTTGTTTTGCTTATGCCGAGTCTCAAAGAAGCACTATATAAAATTCCATTTTTTTTTTTATCCATAATGTTGAATGTGTTAAAATTATCTGACTTTTTAACAAGAAAAATCTCAAGTTGATGTTAAAAATTGCTGCAAAATATTGTTTATTTATTTAAAATGGACTGATACATTATGACAGGTCTCTATTTTGTATTTAGACACATTGAATTTATTTAAAAATTTTCTAGTTGACTTGCTCACCTATATTGCATATGATCCATTATTGTACATAATTAGTTTGTATTTTATATGATATAGATATATTTATATATTTTATTTTTACCCTATGACAACTGAGATGTAGTAGAGTGTGGCGGGGGGGTACCCTGTATCATAGATTCAGTGGAAATGGAAGGCATGAGATCATTGCACTGGTCCTGTACACACAAACCATGTCTCATATTATGAGCTACTTCTTATATATATTTGGCTTTGGCAAACGGTCCATGTATGCAATGCATATCTTTAATTATTAAATTATTTTTGTGCAATGAAAAACTAATTATTAATAATTATTACGACCCTTGTTCCATTCGTGATAATTTTATTTTAATCTCCCATCCCTTCATTTCCTCGGATAAACTGTGAACAAATGAGATTGCAAGCAGAGAAACGTCTTCTTCCATATACCACTCCCACACCAGTTCTATGCACAGAGAACTTGGAAGAATTTAGTGAAAGAAAGTTCAGCAGTTAAATTTGGATAATTTTTATTATCCTCCTTTAAACTTGTGATAATTTTTATTATCCTCCTTTTAACTTGTGATAATTTTTATTACCCTCCTTTTAACTTGTGATAATTTTTATTACCCTCCTTTTAACTTGTGATAATTTTTATTACCCTCCTTTTAACTTGTGATAATTTTTATTACCCTCCTTTTAACTTGTGATAATTTTTAAAAAACTTCCTTTCTCGAGATAAATTGTGAACAAGCAATGTTAGTAGGGTAGAGCAAGCAGAGAGGGCCCTTTCTTCCATATAATACTCATGCACCAGTTCTATGCATAATACAGAGGATGTGGAAGAACAGAGTTAAAAGTGGATGAGGAGTTGCTTGAGTGAGCAGAAAAAGTAGAAAAAAAACAGTGGATTTAGATCCTTTTTTTCCTATTAAAGAAGATGAATGTAGAACATGGTGGGTGCTCAGTTAATTTACAAATGTTATATTCCATCACAATTAGATCTCTTTCTGATTCATTCTGCAACCTGGCCAGATGGAAACACAACGAAGTCAGAGAACAAAATAGCAAAAGTTGTTTTCTGTGCATTAAGCTCCACGCATCATGTCCGGTCTACAAAATGAGCTCTGGCAGCGGCCAATTGTGAACATTCCTGCCAAACGGATGCCCCAGTGGACTATCAGACCTGCTTAGGTCTCTTTAGAACAACGCCAGTCAGTTGTGGTCCAGTGGGCCACCAGTTGCCATGCAGAATGATACTGCTGTTGACGTCATTGCCACTACCTCTCAACATAACTGTTACTACTCCCAGTCTTGACTATCCAGCTTTGTGTTAAGAACATCTTGACATCATCACCTTGGCAAACACCAGCTACAAGTGGCTGCCTATCCAGCTTTGACTCCACCCAGCTACAAACCTTCTTTGTTGATGATGCTGTCACCTTGGCAAATACCAACATAACATCTCAACTTTGACACCACGTCATCTCAGCAATACCAACTTGATAACATCTTCACATCAGCAGCACCAAGCTACAAGGAAATCCTACTCCACAGGCAAGCAACTCCAACTCTGAAAGCATATGTCCTACTACCAATCGACATCCCAACTGCTGTTCCATAGAACAGGCCGACCAGCTTCTGCCATCACCTCAGCCTACTTCGGTTTGTTTACGAAGCATTCCCTTTACAGTTGACACTGTGACCTCCATTCCATGGAACAAGCCTACTAAAACCACGCCAATCCGACATCACCCCATTTCAACACAACATATCTACCAACCAACAAAAATGACCTTTCGAGCATGACTTTGATCAATCAAATGTACACCAACCATATCCTGTGACCTTGGCTATGCTAGGTTAACTCAAGAAAAAGGTCAACTCCTGGTGCTACGCTTACACCCAATCTCTATCCTGGCAATCACCCACTGAAACTGACTTTTCACCTAGCTTCTGTATGATATACTACCCACCACCATGTCCTCAATCAACCAACACAGACACCAACCATATCTTATGACCTCACACCAAAAACTCACAAGAATTAGGTCAATTCCTGGTGGTACTTTTGCATTCTTACTGAAGTGGATATTCCCCCATCTTTCAGTGTCTCCATACAGCCTGCCAGGACATTCCGCGCATCATTCAGCATCTCCGTACGGCCTGCCAGGACATTCCACGCATCCTTCTGCATCTCCGTACAGCCTGTCAGGACATTCCACGTGTCATTCAATGACTCTGTATCTCTCTACGACATGCCAACAATAAATGTTCAAATCTTATCCTAATTATTCCTTTCTCTCACTACCAAATGCTTAATATAAAATAAATAAATTTTTAAATATATCCACATTTGTTGATTTTATTTCTCTCATAATCATGGATCATGGATCAGAGGAGATATGAGAGATTCCCTGATCCATTAACATACTTTGATATTTTTCATCCATGAAGTTCTTCAATTGAATTACTAACACACATTTTATTGGATCCTGTCAAGGCTGACTGTGGACGTAATAGCTGAAACGTTGTGAAATCAGTAACAAAGATAGGTCAATAACCCAATTGTAAATAATGGTAACTCTTTATACCAGAACTTTAGGGAGAAATCAGTGAACCATGAATTTTCCAGGTGGGATGTGGTGAGTCTCTATTGCTACTTTCGTGGAAAGTGCTCAGACAAACTACATTCATTGATTCCATTAGTTCTAACCTTTATAGCGAGGACCTGCCATGCCACTTACATTGTAGCACCCACATTACCCCAGTTTTCCATCGGTGAGAAGTAAGTTCCACTTGAACAGCTTTTTCTCTGTGATTTTGGTTGTTCCTAAAACTGGAGAATATTTTTGAAGTTGTTTTGAAGACATTGAGAAGATGGAGAAGCTGTGATAAGGGTCTTGAACGCCTTCACTTTGGATGATTTCCATAGGGCCTTCACAGGCTAGTGCTACAGCAAGTGCACTGAAGTTAGAGGATCTGACTTTGAAGGAGATTATAGTTTTGGACACATGGTCCAAAGGGTAAAGGAGTTGGTTAGATCCACTGACTAGACTAAAAGAGTTGTGAGTTCAGCACCAGGCTATAGCAGTGGTGAACCAAAATCTTGGAGAATTAAAGGAAAGTAACTGAGATATCTGGAAGAGGCATGGCATGTGGAACTAGCACAATCTACCTTGGTAGGCAAAATAAAGGATTTGGTTCAAAATTCCAATCACCTGAAGAAAGCCGAAGCGTACAGTGGCCAAAATGTTGTGACTATGACAATGAAGATTAAGATAAGAGTCTTAATAATGTAAATAATGTAAGTAGAGTTTTGTACTCTGAAATTAACAAATGTCTTTCCTGAAAAAGTCTCAAAACTTATGGAATGCACATTGCATGTACATTTCAAATTGTAATCACAACATGCTTTATTCAGCAAGAAATATCAATATTTGCACTATTTACATGCTGACTATTGTCTTCATCTTTGTTGTTATCATGTAAGTATAATAAAGATGAGGACATTTGTCTGAATGTAAATCGTATAAATAATGAGTTTTGGTCACAGAAATTCAGACTCAAAGAAATATAGAGCAGGAAATTTTTTTTTTTATTTTGCAGATGAGTTTCATCTTTTCTTTAAATGCCATATTCTTTTTGGATGCTGTTGATCATGGCTCTCCACAGATTTTGTATCTTGACGTCTTGGGAAAAATGGTGGAATGGTTTCCCATTGCCTTCTTCATGGTTTGAAATTCAAAATTGTTGTTTTAGACTGGCTTTCATGAAGGCTGATCTGTTTTTTAACCTATAGCTGGAGGGGAAGAGAGAGAGAGAGAGAGAGAGAGAGAAAGATGGATTCCTAGGGCATTTGTGCAAAAGTGAATGCTACTAGGTGGGAATTTGAACTCTGCTTGCTGATTCAATTTTTAATGCTAGGAAACATTACACCACCTGCACATTATATTTTTACCTTTCTTAAAATAAGAAAATCAATTTATGCCAAAATTGTTGTTTATTTTCATCTATCTTCAATGTTACAATAAAAAAAATAAAATTAACTTTGATAATTTTGTTTATAAAAATACCCCCTGACATAGTACTTGTCACAAGACACTCAAATGCAATCCTTTTGAACAAAGCTGAATGTTAATTTAATGGCAAAAACACAACAAACCTTTTAGTCAATAAAAACATTGTAATTGTGTTTTAAATCAACTGTTTTTTTGTTTTTTTTAATTTCAATTCTCAAAAATAATTTTGTTAATTGATGATTACTTAAATTATTTTTCTTTCTGGGTAAAACTTATAATTTTTTTGCCCCAGCCCCTCTCCTATATCTTGCATTCAGAACAATGAACAGTTTGCAAAGTTTTTCTCTTTAGACAAGTTAAACAAACTTATCGGAATACGAAACACTCAGTCTCGAATTTCAGAATTGTTTATTGCCTTCATTTAAAACAGATTAATAAACTTGTCAGAAATTATAAAACACCAAGAATGGAACTCATATATATGATCCATCATCCAAAATGATTGGCTCTTTATACCGCACCAGTAAGTACCTGACTCTACCTGTTGTGCTCTATTATGACAAGAGTCAGATCACACTAAAACATGGAGTGTTGTTAATTCACAACAATATAAACAAGTTTTACAGCACATTGGGTATTATCATGGGGATTCCTAAATGCAAAATTATGAGAGATGTAAGTGGTCAAATCATGTTGAAACACCAGTTCTCATATGATTACCAAAGTTAAGCAATACTGAGCCTGGTCAGTACCAAGATGGAAGACTGCTTGAGAATACAGGTGCTATAAGTTTGGATGTGCAGGTGGTGTAATGGATAATGGCTTAGAATTGGAAATTGGTTAGCCGAGTTCCAATTCCAGTTTGATACGTCATATTAACTTACATGCAAATACGTTTGGGAAAAGGTTTGAATCCGCCTCTTCTCCCTCAAGCTATAGGTTAATTAGAACTTGTATCAGTAATAATCATTATTATTTCCAACAAATCCTTACAGTATAGAAATATTTTCACCTTTATCCACTGTGCCATGTGTCCTTGGTTAGATTCAATGACAGGACCCAAAGAGTGTTAGTTCAATATCCAGTTTAAGTCAGTGGAGAACTTGGAGTGGAGAATTAACAGTAGATAGCTGATAACTGATATCTATTAGACATGGCACATGAAACTAGAATGGTCTACCCCAGTGAGCAAAATAAAGGGTTCAGTTCAACATTCCAACCACCTGAAGAAGGCCGGTGTGTACAACGGCCGAAATGTTGTAATAAATATGGCGACGAAGATGAGGGCAATAGTCCGAATAATGTACATAATACCTCATCTCAGAAATATAGACAGATACTGAAGAAGGCCGGTGTGTACAATGGCCGAAATGTTGTAATAAATATGGCGACAAAGATGAGGACAATAGTCCGAATAATGCAAATAGTGGAAGAAGTTCCATTTAGAGAGCTACTTCCCAGGAGCCAGTTTTGTGAAACAGATTCCTAAGCTTCTGACTTGCATTTAGATTTGTTTTTTTTCAAAAATAAGAATTTTATATGTCTGGCAAGAATCCCAATATGGAAAAATTTCAGACCTCATCAACAGGTGAAAATGAGAGCCCCAGTCTATTTAATCTTTTCCTATATGATGCCCAACTTATTTACAAGGATAGATATGAAGAGATGGGCAATTATCATTTAAGCATCCCATACCACATCCTGTACAAATCTACCAATAGAAGACAAAGATCCTGCTTTCCCTCCCAAGGACAGTGTACTGATGATGTGGCGGGGGGGAGTCTATGCTGATGATGTAGATATTCATAGTTGGGATAAAAATGATCTTGACAGAAAATCCAAATCCTCTACCAAGGGTTCCAAGAAAGAGGTTTCAAGGTAAACCTTTCCAAAACAGGAACTATTAATAATAATAATAATAATCTAAGAGGAACTGTATTGAGCTACAGAATCTCACGTCTGGCGAGGACCACAATATGCAAACATTTCAAACCCCATCAGCAAGAGGATAACAAGAAGGAAATGAGAGCCCTAGTCTATTTAATCTTTTCCTATACAATGCCCACCTTATTTACAAGGATAGATATGAAGAGAGGGGCAATTATCATTTAAGCATCCCATACCACACCTCAGACGAATCTACCAATAGAAGAAGATCCTGCTTTCCTCCTGAGAGCAATGTACTGATGATGATGATTTGGGGAGACCATGCTGATGACATTGGTATTCAATGTCGAGATAAAAATGATCTTGAACAGAAAATCCAAATCCTCTACCAAGGGTTCCAAGAAAGAGGATTCAAGGTAAACATTTCCAAAACAGGAACTATTAATAATAATATTAATAATCTAATAGAGGAACTGTATCAAGCTACAGAATCTTACCTCCGGCGAGGACTACAATACGCAAACATTACAAACCCAATCAGCAAGAGGACAACATGGAGGTTATGAGAGCACCAGTTTATTTAATCTCTCTCCTGCACGTTTACAAACACAAATAGAATAAGATGACCACTGACCATTTAAACATTCCTTACTATGTCCCGAATCTACCAAGAGAATACAACGATCCTGATTTCCCTCTCAAGTTCAATATAAATAGGACACAAGATAAACCTTTCCAAAATAGAAACTATGATCGGGACTAAGAATGAAAGCACTAGAGACACATATCCTGAAATAAAACTTCAAGGTGTGTGGATTTATTAAATACCAAATACTTCAAATACCTAGGTATATGAATCAATTATAACAGATTTAGTAGGGGAGGGAAAGAACTTGAACTTACGATAAGCAGCACTAGAGTTATTTTCATCAAAAACTGCAAATTTCTACAAAATCAAATATTAATCGGAAAACTCAAATCATGTTCTTAAACAGTCTCATTAGATCAAAACTTTCATATGGAAGTCAAGCATAGCATGAAACCCATTCAAAAATATCAAAACTGTCAGCTATATACAACTGCTTCCTATGATTAATGGTGAAAAAAGTTTTCAGTGAGTAAAGCCTTAGGGTCTTGGCAATGATCATCCCTTTTTGAAACTTGTGGACTGGTGCTTCAAAATCAAAAAAGAAGTGTACCAAGCAGCAGACACCACATTACTTGAGAACTACATACAGCAGCAGCAATTGAAATGGAAAGCATACATAATGCAAAGAGAAAATAATATCATCATCAATATGTTAACATTCCACATTACTTTTGAAATTCCCATCAATAGTGGAAAGAGTGATAACAGCTACTGGCTTAAGAAGAGAAAATAAAATCAAAATGACATCAAACAAAAGGTTAGTAAGGAAACTTCCATCAAAATGTTGCTACTTGAGAAGAAAATTCATAATCAAGATGTTGACATTCCACACTACTTCAAACAAAAGGTTAGTAAAGGAAACTTCCATCAATAATGGAAAGAGGATAACAGCTACTGGGCTTGAGAAGAGAAAATAATGACATAATCAAGATGTTGACATTCCACACTAATCAAACAAAAAGGTTAGTAATAAAACTTCCATCAATAATGGAAAGAGTGATAACAGCTACTGGGCTTGAGAAGAGAAAATAATGACATAATCAAGATGTTGACATTCCCACTACTTCAAACAAAAGGTTAGTAAGGAAACTTCCATCAATAATGGAAAGAGTGATAACAGCTACTGGGCTTGAGAAGAGAAAATAATGACATAATCAAGATGTTGACATTCCACACTACTTCAAACAAAAGGTTAGTAAGGAAACTTCCATCAATAATGGAAAGAGTGATAACAGCTACTGGGCTTGAGAAGAGAAAATAATGACATAATCAAGATGTTGACATTCTACACTACTTTAAATAAAAGTGAGGAAGGAAACCTCCATCAATAATGGAAAGAGAGATATAAGCTACTGGAGTATTTTCCTGAAAAATTGATTTAATAGAAAAATTTTTATGAATTTCAACTGGCTGCTTGGTCAATGAATGCCAAATGTTTCCTTATAGGGAAATGGCAAATATTGCCATTACAATCTTAATAAATTAGATATTTTTCAGTTGAACAGAATATAAAAATTATCCAAGTTTGATTGGGATCTCATAGACGTAAGGGATTGACCGTGAAACTCTTTCTCTTTGTGATATAGGAAAGGTGCCCCCTGGAGCTTAGTTAATCTACTTATTACCTTCATGATAAATGCTCTGGTTTCCAGCTAAGAAACTATTTATCTGTATACCCTACCCATCTTGAATGGAATGTGGTACAAGGCTGTTTGAAGTGGAGTCTTACAAGTATGTCGGACTAGGGACAAACATTTCTGAAGTATCCTTGGCATTTCCCCAATGCCTCAAGTGCTTTGGATTAACTCTCCTGAAGAGGTAATGCCAGTGTGTGTGTGTGTGTGTGTGAGTGAGAGGGGGGGGGGACACCCCAGAGCTTGAGATCATTATATTTCATTTTAATTTCAATGGTGTTCTCAACATTTGGGAGAAAAATGACAACTTGGTTCTTACAAGTTTTTCTTCAGTTGGGATGAAATTCTCCAGCATTCATTGCCATATTGGAGATTAGACATGTCTTCGTATCAAATTTTGGTCTGACGAATCTTATCAGCCCAAGAAGACAGTTCATTTAGGGAAAAGAAAAACTGATTTTAAACCTCCACTGCCTTACAGTCATATGCAAACATAGAAAGCATTATGGAAATAAATACAGACAAAAAATACTGTTGAGCCCCAACCGCAGTTGGCTGTCAGCATTGATAGCCTAGTAGCAACTCCTGCAGCCAAACCGGACCTAAATATAATATCCTGTACTTTTTTGCATTGCATCCACATGGATGAAAGGAGATGTAGATTGGGCAATGCACAGCCTCTGTATAGGGGGCATATTTCATGCACCATTGATGCACTCTCCAATCACATTTCTAAAGAACTGAATTTTAATGTAACAGAGTACTAGGAGCACACCTAACTCAATTTCTGAAGAGTAGCATTTTTATATTTGAATGGACCTTTGAATTTCTGTGCCACATTCTCCATTGTTGGTGTTATGGTCCAGTTCCTTGTACCACGGTGATGGTCCAAGGTAGAACCAATAAAGAAGAACACGAACACGGATATGGAATAACACAGATATATTACAAACAGGAATATATACAGAGAAGTAGAAAGTGTTAGTATGAACAATCAGGTTTAGTAGAGAGAACAATGTAGTCTCGACCAGTATCACTATTTCAATGTTTTGCAGTAATTGTCTGAACACGACTCTGTTTCGGGCTGCCTCTGACTTGACTCTTGACTCGACTGACTCGCTCTGACTGACTGACAGACTCCTGATGGACCTCACTCCAGACTTCAGGCTGAACGTTCTGCTTCCTCTTGAGGCGCAGTATTTATTACGTATGGAATAGTCCATTATGTTATTATGGGTAAGGTCCCATAACAGTCTGTTATTACACTGCCCATATAGCTGAACTATTGATCAATGATTAAGTTTAGTCTAACATACAGCCTGAAGTGTGAAGGAACTTGGGACAATAGCCAAATGGGTTAAAGAATTGGTTCATGAATTTGGCAACATAGTCATTTGGAATTAAATCTCTGGGCCAAGTAATACAGAGTTAAACTCTCTGCCAACAGGGTGAGCAATAACCGAGCAGGTACTAAAAATAAGAACTAGACAAGATATCCCGAGGCATGGGCAGTGGAACAAGAACAGTCTACACTGTATATTTAATAAAGGGTTCAGTTCATAATTCATTGTAGGTTACTCGGGTCCACAAGCCATTGATGAAGTCTGGAGGGCAC